TCAGATGGAAATACCATGTCAAATAGTTTTACATTTTAGGCACCAAAGCAGTATATCCAAATAACATGCTTAGAAGATCGTTTATGAATGCAAAAGGAAAGAAAATGGACTTACCTTGAGAAGAGTTGGTATATTTTGAATATCTCTGTGAACCGCAGCTGAATGACGATCTTCACAAGACGTTCTGTATTTATAGCAATCAAGCCACTAAGAGCGCGGTAATGAAATTGTGATAATTAACATACGTTGTGTATAAAACCAACCAAATGTCACATCCTATTAATTCAGCTAAACTAATTAGTTATGCAGTCTGTGTTTTTTCTGTGGGGGAGGTTTACAAACACAAAGTAAAGTCTGTCCATCTTTTTTTCGCCTAGCATCTCATGCAGAAAGACATCATGCATTGTCTTGATGATTCATAAAAACAGAAGATGGTTAAAATGTAATTAATTGGAGGAAAGTATGTAGCTCAAGCATATAGCAATTAGTTGATTTCCATAGAGTTTAGATCAAAAGTCAAAGTTTGGATACTCTGTTCTGGACACCAGCTGCGTGGCAGTATGCCTTCCTGGACATAAATGATTATACACAACATTTTGATCAAAGGTGTTGAGATTCAAACTGATAATGAAACTGAAGGAGACCATGATTAAACAAATACCACTATTGATGACTTCAGAAACAAATGTCATAACCAATGAAATGATTGGTGCTTGTGCCAGAAGTTAACACAAGAAAAGAGATTCTTACTGATGAAGAAGACATTTGATACAATACAACTTGAATGGAGGTGTCTTGGTATAGTTCATTCACCTTTTTTATCAATCCAAGGGTAGAGGGTTTGAATCTCAGCCCCGCACTAATATCCTTTAGTACGACAATACTCCACATAGATGGATTGTTATGATTTAAATCAAAATTTGCCAATCTCCACTCAGCCTGGGAATCGCTGTGGTAACAATAATGGAAGGGCTTGCAGTAACAACATTATTATTACTACTCTGGGTATTATAAATAATATTTATCATTATCAATTAATGGTCACGATCTCCTAAAGATCTTTAATCTTTTCAAAAACAAATTTTACACGAAGCTGTTACTCTCTGTGTTTGGTTGTCCATGTGTATACATAATTATGCAATCACTATGTATTGTATTTTATGAGAATGTATGAAATACATGAATCTTTAATATAAGCATGTGCTTACCCGTTCTGAATAAGATCAAATAGTTGTTATTATTATTATTATTATTTTTTTTATTATCATTATTATTATTATTATAGGATTTCCCGGCAAAATTCGCGAGTTGGTCATTATAATCTGTCTTGCATTCAAATTCGACGGTCAAGTACTGTCAGGTATTTCTCGAGTTTATATTCCTTTTTCTAGTTTTCAAATATATGAAGTTTTCGTATCTATGTATGTTTCATTTAAATGAACTAACAATGTGCTGCTTTCGCTAATTGGGTATTCGATTTGGCGCAACATGATTTTCTGACATTGCAACGGTGTACTCTTAGCATTCTCATTCATTTGCAGCATTCAAATTAGCACTTTGTGAACTTAAATTGATGGTCAATATACATTTTCTCGTTTATTACACACTTTTTATAACTCATTCCTTTTCTATTAAGATTGTTTTTTCATGTGTATTTCATCATATTTCATTTTTTTGCATTTATACACTTACACTTTTAATAGATTTATTTGATACCTATCAGCATTTAAGTTTGATTGTTAATTTAAAAAAAGCTCGCATGTACGGCCTTGATGGCCTCAATAGGTTTGTTAGTTTTCGTGTAAGGAAGTTGTTTGGGCTTGTGTTTCATCATCATTTTTTTAATAACTTTATCATAATTTTATTATGGAGGAAGGGTACAATATTGTGCCTGGGGTAGGGACCAGTGTCACACAATTCAAGCATGATTCATTATTTAGCCAAGTCTTTATACCTTGATCTGCTGGCGGGCAAGGCATCAGAGGATGTAGGTCTGCATCCTGCTATACCATCACATGTATTCTTCCTTCGTGAGGGCGTCAACGTTTATCCTGGCTATACGGAAAACGATGTCTACTCGCCACCTCTCAATCGTCTGTCCTGCCTATTCAGCAGCTTCTCGATCGCCTATTGCATGTTGCATATCAGGACGTGCCAAATGCCTCTTAACTCTTGATTTAAATGCAGAATGGGCGTTCTCGGTGAAGTTGAGGAACGAAGAGAAGGGAGGCAGGTGCTTAACCTGGATGAGTGGGTCAACGCCAGGCGGAAGTTGAGCCCTCAGCATTGGTCTGGCGATGTCGTAGATCAAAACGACTGGTTCCCCTTGAGGAAATATAGTAGAACACTGGCGTGCCGTTTCTGCCAGGAAGTCCTCGAAGCTGACTCTCTAGTAGTCATCTTGCATGACACATTGTGGTGCACCAGGCCTACCTCTCTTGACACAACAAACGTTACGTTGCACCTCTTACCACGTAGCCCATGCACAATTCTTTGAACCGGTGACCGTGCTGTACTGCCCTGCCCAAGGATCGACTAGTCCACATGTTATATCCGGTTGCCTTCTGCCACAAACCACTGAGCATACTCCAACCGACGATCAAGAATTGCTTGTGAATCCCCCCTATGGCACCTCTTCAGCCAATTTGGGGGTAATAGAAATGGTCGAAATGGAAACTGCTGGCTTTTGGGGGCAATGCCGCCTCAATGTCTCTCTTCATTTGCTCTAACGTGGCCAGAGGATTGATGTGAAGAATGTTGTCAAGATGAGCTCTCATCTCATTTTTTTTATTTATTTTTTTTTGGGGGGGGGGAGGGGGGATGGGGCCGGGAGCACATGCCCCCCCCCCCCTAGATCCGCCACTGGGCATATATATGGATTATTGCGCCCAGAATAATCAATGGAACTGCCACCCCCTTACTGCCAAAGTTTATCTACGTAACTGTGCAAGCGAGGGAGCAAGCGATTGGCCTAGGGAAATTCGCACGGGAGCTCAGTGGCCGAGTATAATTATTTGAATCACAGGCTAATCAGCAGAAAGGGCTTAGCCCCTTGGTCCTTTAAAACAATATATTAGCCATATCTTTAATAGGTTGACCAGTTTCGTAACAAATTGGAGAAAAAGTTGCTATTAGTCGCTTTTAGTTAGGGGCATATAATATATGCCCCTAACTAAAAGCGACTAATAATGATATTATAATGGAGAATGGAGGAGGAGGCACTTATCACGAGGGAGACAGGCGCTTATTAGGATGTAAAAGGAACACATGCCAAGGTAAAAAGAGTAATTATCAAAGGTTAAAAGGGATACTTTTCTTACATGGAAAGGGAAACTTATGAGGAAAAGGGGCACCTATCATATTTTAGAGGCATTTGACAGAGCTAAAAGGGACATTTATGAGAAGGGAAAAGCACTCCAATTAAAAAAGGAAAAGGGGAGCCTTTCAGATTTTAATAAGGGCACTCACTAGAAATGAAAAGCAGCACTTATATAAAGGAGTAAGGGCAATTTACTACAAAGGAAAAGGGACAGTAGTAAAAATTAAAGGGACCCGTCTCAGATTTGAAAAGGGGCAATTATGAGCTATGGTAAAGTGTGCACATCAGAGGTGGTAAGGAGCACTTCTTGTACCTGAATAGGGGAACTCATTCTAGATGAATAGAGGCACTTATAGTAATGGAAAATGGGTATTTATTACGATCGAAATTGGGCACTTGTCGAAGGAAAAGGGGCACCTCTCAGATTTTAATAGGGGCAATTATCGGATATGTAAAAGGGGCAACTCTCAGATTTGAATAGGGGCAATTATCATAGGTAAAGGGGGCACCTATCAGAGATGGTAAGGGGAACTTATGAAAATATGAAACGAGCATCTATATTATAAATAATAGGGGCACTTTACCTACGTAAAAAGGAGCACTTTTGGGGTAATTTAAGAAGTGTGTTGGGTGACAGTTAAAAATATTACTCTGCAGTTATCTCGAAACTATGCTATGACCATCGACTTCGTCTTCGGACAAAGTACGGTTTTGAGATCACCTTTGGCATTAATTTTAACCGTGACTCTCAAAAGTATATTTGTAAAGCGCTTAGAGAGATTTGTAATAAGCGCTATATAAAAAAAAAAAATTATTATTATTGTTATTTTTATTATTAAAGAAATCAATATTTGTATATTATGAGATTTAATTTGTTACCCGGCAAATATGTATACAAAAGGTTTTGAGATCACCTTTGGCATTAATTTTAACCGTGACTCTCAAAAGTATATTTGCAAAGCGCTTAGAGACATTTGTAATAAGCGCTATATAAAATTTAAATATTATTATTATTATTATTATTATTATTATTATTATTATTATTAAAGAAGTCAATATTTGTATATTATGAGATTGTATTTGTTACCCGGCAAATATGTATAAAAAAGACCAGCTGCGGATTTTGTTTCTGGCCTAGTTTAAAGTATATGAATGGATCAATCAATCAATCAATCAATCAATCAATCAATCAAATTTTCTCACTATTCCATGTCTTTTATTTTTTACTACAGTATTCACTCTTTGCTTACTCTTTCACTCACATGTCTCCAATATTCCTCATGAACTCATGGATCATCCATTATTGGCTTGATAGGTCATTCGATGCCACACACGCAAACACACACACACACACACACACACACACGCACACACGCGCACGCACAGAACGCAAACACACACACACACACACACACGCACACACACAAACACGAAGTTGCAAACCATCCAGAGACTCCTAATAAATTGCGTTACTTATTAATTAATTATTTCATTACAAATCTTTATTCTCAGTTTTCTTACGAAGACTATAACTGATTTTCTTATAAAATTGAAGATATTTATGGCGTATATATTCAATACTGAATGAACGCATAAAACATTTACCAACAACAACAACAACAACACACACACAAACATTAAAAAATAACCGTCATGAAAGACATCAGATACCAAAGAAACATTTGTTTAAAATATCTTTATTACAGTATCACTGAATATTGGAATCCATAAGATTGAAAGTAGGAAAATTATAGAAAAAGAGCGAATTTGATTGGTCAAGACTGTTCCGTACGTCATTTCATTCTGAAGTCGGGATTGGTCAACTGGTGCTAGCAAAGATTTTACATGTTATCTCCATTTCCGGCACCTGAAAAATAGAATACAGGAAGAACATGATGGATTTAGATGCCTTCTGAGTCCGTGATATATCATATGATCACATTGCCTCTCTCCACCCAAGTGTAGTAAATTGTTATCTGGTAAGAACTCAGAAGAGCGCCTCAGATGGGCTAATGTCAGATAATGGTAATATTTCGTATTGTTATTACTGTCATCAGTTATCATTATTTCTTTTTTGGTGAAAGCTGTGACCGTCGGGTCTCTCCTCCCGATCTTACTAGTTATCATGTTCAGGTGTACCGCTGCATCGGAGTTTCTTCCTATTCTTATTCGAATAGTGCAGTGGATTCCTAATGCTCACATAGGAAATGACATCCCTACACACGGGACCTCAATTCAACATGCTATCCGAGGGACAGAAGGTACCTCAAGCATCCCTCGATATCAATTATTGCTCGACGTAACTGTTACTATTATTATTATTATTATCATTAGTAGTAGTATAGTAGAAATAAAACATGCCGCAAAGCTTTAATTGTAACCTAATGGCAACTGTGCGCTTTAGCCCTATATGTGGAAATGCGAGTCTTATTACGCTTCATGTCATCACTACAAAAGAAAAATCGCTGCAGTTTATGTGAGAAAAGGGTTTATAAGGCTTCAAACTTACCGCTACAGAAGACGACTGAACCACTACGCCTGTTGCACCAGCATTCCATGCCGAATTGTTGGCAGGCTGAGGGGAACAGAGAGGACACGATATGTTTGTTAAAGGTTGCCAATACAAGAGAACTTGGAATATTCATTCTTGGAATACAATCATGACAGCGATTTGAGGGGAGATGTTAGAAGCTTTAATTTCTAGGTTCTAACGCCTCTTAATTGTATTCACGAAATCATGCCAATCGAAAGATCCTTTAAACCATATATTAACAGAAATCCTCGAAGGGAGAAATTATTTTATTACTATTATTATTTAACTTTTATTGGGGCTTATATTTTCCTGTTTTCGTTATGTTATTCATTACAAATTAATATGCTAAGATTCGATTTGGTGTTTGGACAAACGGTTTATTGTTTATGAAAAGAAATCCTTTACTTTCATCAACTATCTTGTATTTTTTGTAGATTTGTAGGGTGGGAGGTCACAAATTTAAAGTTTAATGGTTCAATATACTCACTCTTGTACTTCCTGAGATTACGTCCCATACCCCTCTTCTCGGTCTCAAAGAATTCAAGGGTGTCGTCGTTGATCTCGTAATCAGCGATGACGGCGACGATGAGGGCACAAGCCAGAACGAAGAACAGAGCCTTGCCCATTTTGATTGGTGAGTTGGTTTTTAGATAATCTGTTGTGTAAATAAGACATGAAATTATAAATTCCATTATTATGTAGCATTCGGTTACGGTAGTTGCTTAAAGAACAGACAAGTATAAAAGAAATTCAACTGAGATTATTGGTGGTATTTCCTATGAAAGCTTGTTCTTTATTTAAAAATATATCAATCGACCAACACTAATCGGTTTCATCTCTGTTTCATGTGTTTTTATCCTTTTCTATTTTCCCTAATCTGAAGACAAACTCCTTCTACTCTACTATCAACCTTAGTATTATTAGATACCTGTTAATGTTTCATTTAGAAGGTAGTTTCCCCAGTGTGAAAACATAATGTATCCATACTTATATCGTTGAAATATTATATACGCTGAAATTCGAAAAGGGAGATAATTTGCAAGAAACGAAATTCTGAGAAATATCAGGAAAATCTGCAATAAATAGCTGATGACAAGTCAAAAGTAAATACCGTGTCAAATAGCTTTACATTTTAGGCACCAAAGGAGCATTGTCAAATCTCCGGCATAAAAGATCGTTTGTGAACGCAAAAAGAAAGAAAATTGGACTTACCTTTAGAAAAGTAGGTCTATTTTGAATATCTCTGTGATCTGCAGCTGAATGACGATCTCTAGGAGACGTTCTGTATTTATAGTGATCAAGCCACCGAGAATACCGTAATGAGATTGTGTTTAATAACATATGTTGTTTTAAAAACCAAATGTCACATCCTGTTAAATCAGGTAAACTAATTAGTTCTGCAGTCTGTGTTCCTTCATTTAAACATTCATAATAAAATGAGTAGCGCGAAGTGAGGTTCAATGTGCGATATACATGAATATGCCACATGTGTCGTCATCGAAAGCTTCTGTCAAAGATGTGACTCATAAACGACTATATTATGTTTTTAAAGGGATAGAATGCTTGGATAGCCAGACACTGAATAATTTAATCCAGACCAGTTTGCAACAAGGTCGGGCACACCCGACACCTTCTGATCTCTGAGGATTTCAGTAAGTAATTGTTTTAGATTTTAGATTTAATAACAAATTTGATTACTCGTACACCAGTCAAACACATTGATTTTTGTTTGTGTAGCCTTGACAACAATTTTATATTTCTCTTTCTTTTCTCTTCTTTTTTCTGTCTTTTCCCCCTTTTACCAATATTTTGTTCCTCCATATTTGTATTATTATGTATCCTTTGAGGGTAGTCATACTATCAAGCTTTGCTTATTTTGTCAACCCTCCTGTTTGATGTTCTCGATTAGTTACACCCAGCCTTACTTTATTCTACATATATTCTTTTGTCATGTGTAAATTTGCAATATTTGTTTGTTATATATTTGTAAAAATGCAAAAGAAAAAGAAAATCAAACAGAAATAAATAAATCAAATCAAATCAAATATTGTTATATTAAAAAGAAATTACCAATGTAAAATCCATATGTTTTTCGGTATAAGATTTTTATTTTCTTATAAAGGTGTTGAGTGAATGAGCTCGAACATGAACTTAAAATACTTGTCATATCTTTTTCTGGCATAAGCCAGGGCAATCGTCATCTTTCGCCTTCTGTGTTAAAATTTACTTCGACATATGGCGTTCTCAGTTACAGGCCATGTTGCTTAAAGCCCTTCTTCCGTGTGTGACAAGAGAGAGGATTACAAAAACAAAGTAGAGTCTCCCCGTCTCTTGTCGCTTAGCTTCTCATGCAGAGAGACAACGTGCATTCTATTCATAAAACGAATAGCAGAGTATGGTGTTCCACCCGTATGTGGAAATAAATAAATTAAAAAAATATTAAAAAATGTAATTGATTAGAGGAAAGTTTGTGAGCCTAAGCACATATGCATATAGCTATTACTTGATTTCCATAGAGTTTATAATTATGAAAATTCAAAGATCGGATACTTTATTCTTGACATCAGCTGCGATACAGTATGCTTTACTGAACATTTATGATTATATACAACATGTTGGTTCACGGTGCTAAGATTCAAACTGAAAAAAATGGAACTGAAGGAGATTATTGTTATTAAACGATTACCACCCTTAATGAATTTACAAACAAATGACATAACCATTAAAATGATTGGTGCTTGTAACATGAGCGAACACAAGAAAATAGATTGATTCTGATGAAGAAGATATTTGACACAATACAATAATAATAGTGATTTTAAAGTCCACTCCAAATTTTATTAAACCGAAAATGGAAATTCTGTTTGCCCAATTGATCGTGAGCCCGGCAGCCACTGAGCAGCGCCAGATCGATGTTGCTCTGTCAAATCAAATGGAGATATCGTAGTATAATTCATTTTGAAGTGGAAAAGGGACACTTATTACGAAGAAAATTGGACACTTGTCGAAGGAAAGGAGCACCTCTAAGATTTGAATAGGAGCAATTATCGGATATGTGAAAAGGGGCACTCTTTACAAAGAAAAAATGCACTCTCAGATTTAGACAGGGCCAATTATCATAGGTGAAGGGAGCACTTATCAGAGGTGGTATTAGGACACTTTTACAAATGTGAAACGAGCACCTGTGTTAGGAGTAAATAGGGGCACCTTCCTGAATTTAAGTAGGGCAATTTTTCCGCCTAAAAAGGGGCACCTTTGCGGTACTTTAAGAAGTGTGGTGGGTAACAGTTTAAAATATTGCTCCGCAGTTATCTCGAAACTATGCTATGACCCACGACTTTGTCATACAGTACCGTTTCGAAATCACCTTTGACAATAACTTTAATTGTGACCTTCAAAGAAGTCAATATTTTTATATTATGAGATTGTATATCTGATTGTATTTATTAAACGGCAAATTTGTGTGATAAAAGCCTAGCAGATGATTTTCTTTCTGGCCGATTTTAAAGTAAATGAATGGATCAATCAATCAATCAATCAATCAATCAATCAAAGTTTCTCACTATTCCATGTCTAGTCATTTTTACTACAGGTTTCCGATATTTCTCCTAATGGATCATCCATTATTGGCTTAATAGCTCACCCTATGCCACACACACACCCAAGAACAACGCACACACACACATCCGCACACACACACATTAAAAGCGCCATCATGCAAGAAGTCAGAAACCAGACACAAAAATTTGTTTTGAATATCTTTATTACAGTATCACTGAGTGCTGGAATCCATAAGATTGAAAATAAGAAAATCAAAGAAAAATAGAGAATATGATTGGTCAAGCCTGTTCCGTACGTCTTCCATTCTGGTCAGGGATTGGTCAACTGATGCAATCAGACAGTTTACATGCTATCTCCATTTCCGGCACCTGCAAAAAAGAATAAAGGGAGAACATGACGGATGTATATGCCTTCTAGTCCGTGATACATATCATGGTCACAATGTCTCTCTACCCAGGTGTAGCAAATAGATACCCGGTTAGAACTCACAAGACCTCCTTGTATAGGGCAGATGAGCTTATAATGTCATATAAAGTTAATATATACAGTAGGTTTGCGGGTGCACCATGTGTGTGAGAGAGAGAGAGAGAGAGAGAGAGAGGTTGAGGAGTCCTGAAAAGGACTCTGACTCAGTAATCTTTCTTGGGGGTGTGGTAGTCCTGAAAAGGACGGTTTGTTATCTTTCTTAGCATATAGTTCTAAGGAGAAATATAGCGCTTGGAGAGGATGAGTGGCTCGACGTTTCGAACAGGTTGACTATCCGTTGTCAGGAGTGGAGAATGGCTGGCGTGCGTGAGCTTAAGTCACCGGGGTGCGGACGTCAGGGTAAAGTTAATATGTTGTGCTGTTATCACTGGTATTTATTATTTTGGGGGAAAAGATAACTGTGACCATCTGGTCTTTCAACGTTCATTGGAAATGACTCCCCTACATACGGGACCTCAATTTAACATGCTATCCGAGAGACAGAAGGCACCTCAAGCATCCCTTGATATGAATAAGTGCGCGGTGTTACTCTGGCTATCATCATTATTATTGTTATTATTGTAATAATTATTAGTAGTAATAGTAGTAATTGTTGTAGTATAGTGTAATAGTAGGACATGAACCTTTCTGTTCCAAAACAATAAGAAGCTTGTTGAACTTGAGAGTGAACGAAACAAGCAAATGTTTGGACGTCACACCAAGAAGTTGAGGCTTTTTCAGATATTACGCGGTAAAACGCCGAAAAAGAAGAGAAATAAAACCAAAGAAATCATGCCGCGATTTTTAATTGTGAGTAAATGGCAATTGAGCTCATCAGGCCTGTGAGGAAATGTGAGTCTTATTACACTTTATGTCATCACTTAAAAAGAACTACCGCTGCAGTTTATGTGAGAAAGGGTTTATTAGGATTCAAACTTACCGCTACAGAAGACGACTGCGCCACCACGCCTGTTGCACCAGCATTCCATGCCGAATTGCATGCAGGCTGAAAGGGAACAGAGAGGACATGATATATTTTTTAAAGGTTGCCAATACAAGAGAACTTGTAGTATTCATTCATGCAACACAGTCATGATAATGATTTGAGGGGAGATGTTCTGACGCCTCTTAATTGTATTCACGATATCATGCCAGTCGACAGATTCTTTAAACTATATACTAACACTGATCTGTTTACAGAAATATATTCCCAAAGGGGGAAATCATTTCATTACTGTTTTTATTCCATTGGGGCTCATACGTTCCTGTTTTCCTCATGCTACTTATTAACAATATATACGCTAGGATTCGATTTGTTAGTTTATTCTGTATGATAAGAAATCCTTTTTTCAAGTGTTTTATTTTTGTTGTAAATTTAAGAGGGTGGGAGGGCACAAATTCAAATTTTAATGGCTAAATATACTCACTCTTGTACTTCCTGAGATTACGTCCCATACCCCTCTTCTCGGTCTCAAAGAATTCAAGGGTGTCGTCGTTGAGCTCGTAATCAGCGATGACGGCGACGATGAGGGCACAAGCCAGAACGAAGAACAGAGCCTTGCCCATGTTGATTGGTGAGTTGGTTTTTAAATAATCTGTGTAGTAAAAAAGAGATAAATGTTTGGAATTCCATAATTATAAAATATTTGGTTTCGAAAGTTGCGTAAATAATATATCTATACAAGAAATTCAATTGAGGTTCTCGGTAGCAATTCATGTGCAAGGTTTGTTCGTCATAAAAAAAAATCAAAGGAAATCATATAGCCCATGATCAGATTAGCGTGTGCGCGTCCGTCATACGGGCAACTGGCCGGAATGTTCCAAAGGGATTGAAGAATGTGCACTGTAAAACGCAGCATCGTAACAGAGTTTGGTGACCGGGGTTATAATAACGCAAAAGCTTCGCTTGGTTACGTGTAACTGGTAAAGCGCTGTATAAGAACCGGTTATTACGAAATGTTAGGTCAAAGGTAAACACCGTACTGTAAAGTATTTTACTGTTTCGACACCAAATGGGCTTTGCGAACTCACCCGCTTACAAAAAAAAAATCGTTTATGAATGCAAAAGAAATAAACATTAACTTACCTTGAGAAGAGCAGGAATATCTTGAATATCTCTGTGATCTGCAACTGAATGACGTTGTCCACAAGACACTCTGTATTTATAGGATTTCAGTCTCTTCAGCACCGTCATAATTTAGTGTTGAATAACATATTTTTTAAACGAAATGTCACACCCTATTAATTGAGCAAAACTAAT